AACCCATCATTCTGCCTGAATTTCCTACTGGAAGGACCAATGTGATGTAATTAATGGGTGTTATTCAGAAGGTGACAGGACCAGAGTCCTTTTCCTGAAATGGTCTCAAAGCGAAAAGTGTACATATATGGGGCAAAGCAAGGAAAACAAAAGCATCCTTCCAGACTGGGACTTTGGTCCAGCACCAGAGTAAAATACTAGTGCTAAGTGGACCAGGTTGTTTTATGGTGTCTCCTTGCTTACAACTTCCCAATACTTCCCACTGTGCTTAGAATGACATCTGTACTCCTGCCAGTCTGCAAAGCCTGAGGTAACCTGGTTCCTGACTACTCCAGTCTGAAACTATACCACTCTCCCTCTCACTGTCTATCCCCCATCAGCCTCATGGTCCCACCTGTCCTTTGAATAGGCCAAATTCAACACTCCCTTTAGGGCCTTTGCGCCGTGTCTTCCACTCATGGTTCTAGTACACTAGCTATGTGAGTTAAGTAAGATAAGTTACTTAATCACTTTGAAAGTCAGTTTCCTCGTCCATAAAGTTCATTCATTCATTTATCAAGTGCCTACTACACACCATGTCCTGTTCTAGGCATGGCAGACAAAGCAACGAATAGCACAGAAAAGGTTCCCACTCTCTTTAGCTTACCTTTTACTAAAAGCAATTAAACAAATAATGTAATTTCAGACAGAAACAAATTCTACGAAAAAAATTAAATGGAGTAAGTAATGAGTAAATTAAATAGGGTGGAGAGGAGGCTAAGTTAGAGCAGTTAGGGATGGCTGCCTTGAGGTGACATTTAAGCTGATGTCAGAATGTGAAATGCTGGGGAACAGCATCCCAGGCAGAGAGAACACAGCACACAGTGCAAACACCTTGAGGAGGGAATTAGTGGCACGGGTTCTAGGAAAAGGAGGAAGCTGCTACTGGCTAGCACCTGGTGAGCAAGAAAAACAATGTGGCTAGAGAGACACGCACTAAGTTCCACAGGCTTTGGGGAGCTCTGTTAAGGAGTTTGGATGTTAATCCATGAGCAAGGGAAAGCCATGGCAGTGCTAAAGCTGAGAGTGACATGATCAAATTTATGTTTTTAAGAAATCACTCTGTGAGGAAATCTGAACAAGACTGGTGGACTGTACCAATAAAACATCCTAGTTGTGATATTGGACTATAGTGCTGCAAGATGTTACTATTAATGGAAATTGGGTAGGCTGGGCATGGTGGCTCATGCCTGTAATCCTAGCACTCTGGGAGGCCGAGGCAGGTGGATTGCTCAAGGTCAGGAGTTCGAAACCAGCCTGAGCAAGAACGAGACCCCGTCTCTACTATAAATAGAAAGAAATTAATTGGCCAACTAATATATATAGAAAAAATTAGCCAGGCATGGTGGCGCATGTCTGTAGCCCCAGCTACTCGGGAGGCTGAGGCAGGAGGATTGCTTGAGCCTAGGAGTTTGAGGTTGCTATAAGCTAGGCTGATGCCACAGCACTCACTGTAGCCTGGGCAACAAAGCGAGATTCTGTCTCACAAAAAAAAAAAAAAAAAAAAAGGAAATTGGGTAAAGGCTACATAGGATCTCTCTGTATTAATTTTTATAACTTCATGCAAATCTACAATTATCTCAAAGTTGGAAAAAAAAGGTCACCCTGGCTGCTAAGTGAAGAATAGATTTATATACATGCATATACAATTATGTGTATTTATTTATTTTGTAATGGGACAAGAAACAAATCAGGGAGACTAGCAAAGAGACTGCTGCCATTGTCTGATGGCTCCCTGATTGCAGCGGGGTTGGGGGGTGGTTTGCTGCTATAGCACCGTAACCAAACAGACTAGATGTGGACAGGAGGGTGAGAAAGACTAAAGAGGAAGATGTACTTTTTATCTTAAGCAGCTGCGTATTTAGATCATACAAGGAGTCTTCAAAAAGTTCGTGGGAAATGCATATTATGAAAAAACTATGCATGATTTCAAAATTTTTTTGCACCAAAATAAACTTGTACTAAATTGTTATAACATATCTGCACAGGATCTAGTTTAAGGCACTAAGAAGGATAAGACATCAGTTTTAAAAGAACCCCTATCAGAGCAATATGAATTGTGTTAAAATTGAAGCAGGAACAAACATCAAATTTAAGTGTGGGGGGAGGAATGGTGAAATTATCAATGCTTTAGGAGAAGGCTTTACAATGCTCCAAAGAAATCAGTGGTTTACAAACAGAAAATTTGTTTTAAGAAGGGACAAGACGATGTTGAAGATGAAGTGTGGTAGACCATCCATATCAATTTGTGAGGAAAAATTAATCTTTTTTGTGTCCTCATTGAAGAGGACTGAAACTAGGAGCAGAAACAGCAGCCAATACCACAGACTATCTCAACTGGTTAGCTTATGCAATTCTGACTGAAAAATTAAAGTTGAGCTTCCATTCAATTGGTGGCAAAACCTTTGTGCCCAGATCAGCTGCAGACAGAATTTTAAACAAGTAGGATCAAGATCCTGAAGCATTTCTTGGAAGAACTGTAACAGAAGGTGAAACGTGGCTTTACCAGTACCATCCGGAAGACAAGGCACCATCAAAGCAATGGCCACCAAGAGGTGGACGAGGTCCAGTCAAAGCAAAAGTAGACCAATCAAGAGCAAAGGTCACAGTAACAGTTTTTTGGGATGCTCAAGGCGTTCTGCTTGTTGACTTTCTGGAGGGCCAAAGAATTATAATACCTGATTATTATGAAAGTTATTTCAAAAAAGTGAGCCAAACCTTTAGCAAAATATGCCCAGGACAGCTTCAGAGAGTCCTTCTCCACCATGACAATACCCTGTTTATTCCTTCATCAGACAAGGGCAATTTTGTTAGAATTTCTGTGGGAAATCATTAGACGTCCACCTTACAGTCTTGATTTGGCTCCTTCTGACTTCTTTTTGTTTCTTAATCTTAAAAAAAAAAACTTTAAAGGGCAATTTTTCTTCAGTTAATGTAAAAAAGACAGTATTGACATGGTTGAATTCCCAGGACCCTCAGTTCTTTAAGGATGAATTAAATGGCTGGTATCATCTCTTACAAAAAAGTGTCTTGACCTTGATGGAGTTTATGTGGAGAAATAAAGTTTATATTTTATTTTTATCTTTTAATTCCATTTTTCTACAAACTTTTTGAAATCCCCTCATATCTACCCAACAACACTTCTGTGAGAATTAAATGACTTAAACCATGTAAAACACACAACACAATAGTAAGCACATAGTAGATGTTTAAATGAAAGAATAATATTGGTCTTAAAGATCCCATACATTAAAAACCCTAATGTACACCCCAGGTACTAGAAAAAAATTCCCAATTCCTTCAGAAGCTAAAACTAGTTCCAAATTTCATTTTTCAATGATTAACAAGGAAGATCAAGGGTATATTTAGACCCCTTTCTGACTTCCTTTCACTCAAGGAGACATAATAGGTATTAAATAAAAGATTCCTATAATTATAAAAATCGAAAGTTTCTCCTGTCACCCTTATCAAATGGAAGTTTAAATCAGAAGTAACATGTCTTCTAATATAACAATGGCTGGATGACTACTAGAGATGATTTGTTCCATATCCTCTGCAAAGAAATTATCAACAAAATATACTGAAATCCTAGGAAAAATAATCAATAAAAAGATTGTGTAATAGAGCATTTAAATAGAACAGGCTATGGGGGAAAAAACTAAGAGTTCACAGGTCATGGGGTCAAATGGTAACATTAGGATATTGCTCATTTTGAGATAAAACTATATCTTGTATTTGTTTGTTTTTGTTATTTAGAGGCAGAGAGTAAGGGTTTAATTTGTTGGGATAAAGAAGTTTGTAAAAGGACAAGATGCTATAAATCACAAATACTAAGGTGGCCAAATTTTTAATATCTGAAACAGTAAAAGCTGAACTTTTAAATAGTCAAAGCTAAATGGCAAGTGGTATTTTTAAAAAAAGTTTTAAAAGTTTTAAAATTTTCTGAGAATTTAAGTCTAGAGCATTGACTTTTGGACCTGGGGTTATGTAACGCTCATACCCAGGGGACGTGACGGCCGATTGTCCTGTCCAAACAAACACTGCAGAAAATTATTATAACCATCAGAGATATTTCATTTCTCTTCCCACAGTATCTAATTCTTATCTCAGACAGATATATGTGTGTTTGGTTTGGATGAATGTTCTACATAATTATAATTTTTTGCAGTACTGAGGAGTAGGCAAAGTGTTTAAAACTTAGTCTTCACTTGAAAGAAAACTGATTTTCTAGAGAAATTCTGGCTTTGGGAAAGTAGCTAAGTAATCTGTAGATTACAGAACTAGCTGTCTTTAATTAGGAGTTGAGCAAATTGTTATAAGAAAAGTCTAGACAAATAAAGATACTGTTTATATTTCAAAGATGGGGAAACAAGATTCTGCTACGAAATTTTTCCAACACTAATCCTCAGCAAACAGCTCCTTAGGAAAACTATTTTTAAGCCTTTATCAACTTGGTTGATAAGTATTTCATTTCCAGTGCATATATGGACAAACTACATAAAGTGAAACTGTTTTCATGCTTTAAAAAACATTTTGCAAATGGAAACCAAGCTTATTGTGCTATAATATCTATTTGCGAGTCTGACAAATGACTCTGGGGCAAATATCATGAAGTCTCAGAATGAAAATCCATGGAAGGAATTGGCCTGACTCCCATACAAACTCCAGAAACATGATCCCCCCTGCAGACCAGAACACTACTCTGGAAAATTGTGATTAATGTTAATTAATCCAGAACACATTTACATGTATTATTTCACTGCCTATGTGGTATAAAATGCTATGTATAAGTCACTATTATTATTTCCATTTTTTAAAAGAAGAAACTGCAGCCAGGAAAGCTTGGTGTCCAAAGTCACTAAGGTAGTAAGTGCCATGGCCACTACTCTCAGCTCCCTCAAGCTATACAGTAGAGATAGTAATGGCAGCAGCAGCAGCAGCAACACTTAAGTTGTACTCACCATGTGCTGGGCATTGTTCTTTGCACTTCCACGTATCAATTCATGTAATCTTCAAGATAACCCTATAAGATAGGTAGGCAGGTTTGTCTTTGGACCACCAACCTCCTTTTTCTACCCTGCCCACCATATTGCCCTGCTTCTCTTCTAAAAATGGACATCCCCAAATCCTCATGTTTTCTTTACCCTAATCCCAAATCAAATTTTGCTCTAAAATATTGGTAATTGTTGACATTACATGATGTGTAATGGGGGTTTCTTTATACTATTCTCTCTACCTTTGTTTATATTTTAAATTACCTTATGAATATTTAATATTACCTTATAACATTAAATAACCTTATAAACATTTTGCTCTAACATGCAATCTGAGCTATTGAAAAGAGACTCTACTGACAATGAACTCAAAGGAAAATGTTACTGAAGACAGCTACATAATAACAGAAGAAAGTGACATTGATTCATTCACACATTCCACAAACACAAATTCAACACACATTATATGTTCGGATATGCAAAGGTCCAGTGAAGGACTCTTGTCCTCAACAAGCTAAGAGTTTAGTAGCAGACACAAAACAAAATGAATGCAAAAGTAATTATGGAGGAATCTGTTTATAAGAAATGCTATAAAAAGAAAAGTTCAAACAAAGTGCTATGTGAGCTGGAAAAAGTCACATCAGAACAAATTCCATGAGACTGAACTCTCTGGGATGTCCAAACTTTTTGGTATATTAAACATTATTTAAAATCAGTGATTGGGCTAAGCTTAGTGGCTCATGCCTATAATCCCAGCACTTGGGAGGCTAAGGCAAGGGGATCATTTGAGCCCAGGAGCTCGAGGCTACAGTAAGCTATGATCATGCCACTGTACTCCAGCTCAGATGACAGAGCAAGACTCTGTCTCTAAAACAGTAAAATTTAATTTAAAAAATTAAAAATTAAAGGGGCTGGGCTCAGTGGCTCACACCTATAATCCCAGCACTTTGGGAGGCTCAGGTGGAAGGATGGTTTAAGGCCAGAGGTTCAAGACCCAGCCTGGGCAACATAATGAGAAACTGTCTTTACAAAAAATAAATTAAAAAAATTAGCCAGGCATGGTGGCATGCACTTGTAGTTCCAGCTACATGAGATGCTTAGGCAGGAGGATCCCTTGAGCTTGATCCCAGGAGTTTGAGGCTGCAATGAGCCACCATGGCATCACTTTGCTCCAGCCTGAACAACAGAGAGAAACCCCATCTCTTTAAAAAAAATAAAAAGAAAAAAAAGAAAAGAAAGAAAAGAAAAAAATTAAAATGAGTGGGCCACAGAAGAAAATGAGCTACATCCAAAAGCAAAATTAGATCTGGAATGCCACATGCCCTCTTTTATGATTATTATAATGGCTCCCAGACTGAAATCTAGGCCTTTCAATAAGGAAGGGAAGAAAGTTCCTCTGAAGTCTTTGGATCAAAACATACTGATTAGAGAATATTTAGCTGGAAAGAAGACCACCAGATAATCATTTATAATACTTAAAATTCTCCTACTGCTTCACTTGACCAGCCTTAAAATACATAAATAAATAAATATATATTTAATACTTAAAACTGAAAAACAATGTACATGTCCAACATAGGGCTTGATGATACTATTCATTTCAATTGATGAACTGTAACCCATACATAACAATTTAAAAATAAATAAAGTAGAAGCTCTATCCCTGATGTGATCAGTATCAATAATGGTGTAATTCATTTTTAAAAAGAGGAATCATTAAAAATGTATGTTTATTTGCCAAATACTTGATAATGGACCAAGGCCTTTTCTTTTAGAATAAGCTCAACTAATTAAAAATTCCTGCAGAAACCACATCCATGATGCATGTCTACATTTCCAGTTTTTACTGGAAAGACACTTGTGACGTATTCTGAAGACAGAATCCTCCATTTTGATAAATTTTTTTCTTCAATCTTTTCAGGTCTCTTCCACTACTAATTTGACAAAACCTTTTTTCCTTAGCCATTTATGTTTGTCAGGTCTTTCAAACACATTCATCTTACAAAAGCAATATCTTTTTTCCTTTTTGCCCTCATATTTCATTAGTTAACATAACATTTAATTATTTTGTAATTACAATAGCAAAACTCAATCAGTATTGGAACAAACCCAGCTGACTCTTTTTGATCATCACCATCAATATCATGGCAAATATTTATAATGTGTTAAGGTCTGCCAGGCACTGTTTTAAGTACTCTACACATATTAAGTCCTTTAATCCTCATGATCTACATACCACCATGGTCACTATTTTACAAATAAGGAAACTGAGGCATAGTAAGGTTAAGTAATTTGTCTGAGGTCTCACAACTAGTAAATAGCAGAGAAAGAATGCAAACCCAGGCATACTCTAGTTTCAAGTTGATGACTTTAATCACTAGCCCCTAAAACCAAATGGGAGAGAGCTATAGTGTGCTGGTGCTCTAAAGCAATGGTGTCCAATAGACGTTTCTGCAATGATGAAAATGTTCTATATCTTGGCTGTCCAATACAGTAACCTGAATTAAAAACAGTGGCTATTGAGACTGAGAAACTGAATTTTTAACTTAATTTTAAGTAATTTAAATTTAAACAGCTACACACACCCAGTACCTATTGCACTGGACAGTGTAGCAGAGAATAGTCTACTAGTAGAGAACATTCAGAAGGCCATGAGAATTAATCACTTAATTAAGTTTTATAGTGAGAATGGAAATGATCTGTTAATCTAGTATCTGTTAAGTATCTGATAAGTTGAGTGGTTAAGAAGCTTCTGTTTAATAACTGTCATAAAAAAATACTCATGATGTAGTAAAATGGGAACAGTGATTTATGAAACATTATGTAAAGTATGGTTAAAAAATCATGAATAGAAAGACAGTAAACATAAAAACAGCAGTTTCCTCCAAATAGAAGGTATAGTGGACACATTGTTGGCAGCCTCCTGTGGTGTGCAGCACCCACTGACAGGCCTATATCCATTTCCCATTCTTCCATAGCAACAGAATCACTGCGTTACTGGGAATAGCAATATGTCCAGCTAAGAAAATACATTTAACAGCCTCCTTCCAAATAAGAAGGGACAATGGGATGTAAACTGAACATGTTGGTTGGGACTTAAGATATGTTAAAGGGTGTCCTTTGCCCTCTGCTTTCCTACTTCTTCCTGCCTCAAGGACTGTTTGAAGAGCCAGAAGCCCACTTGTGACCACAAGGTGACCATGAGAATGCAAGTTATGTGATAAGGATGGTGAAGTAGAGAGAAAGATTTAGATTGGCTGATAGCACTGTGGAACTGCCAAGCCAGCAACAGATTATCTACTTTGGACTTAGTATTTCTTGAGAAAAGAATAACCTGTCTTATTTAAATACTGTTATCAGCAGCCAACATAATTCCTAGTTGACCAATCAACTCTGCATCCATCCCTTAATCATAGAAAAACATCCTTCCTAACAAAAACACAATTCTGTTTCTGATTAGCTTAAAGATAATTCCATCCCTCTTATAAATTACTTGATCAGGGCATGGCATTGCCCTAGTGACCAGAATTGGTTCAGGAAGGGGCACATGACCCAATTCAGGCCACTGAGATTCTAGGGTTAGTTTTATGAGGGTTTCTGAGAAAAGTTCTGACTCTTAGGGGAAGAACAGAGGAAGAGACAATCTTTCTATTCCTTAGGCAGATGCCGTGCATGGATTCAGGGCCTAGAGCTACTGCAGCTATTTTGCTGCTAGCCTCAGGATGAAGCCAGTTCTCTGGGGAGGGTACACCAAAAGAATCTTAGGGAAAGAAGCCTGAGACAGTGGACTATGTTAACCTCAAAGTCTCTCCTACCTCTAGCACAAGTAAACTATATGAATATCAACATATCCACATTACAGTGAGAGCATCTCAGAAGCAATGAAATAGATGCTGAGAGTTATTCAAGTATTTTGAGAAGGCAAGTCAGTCAGGTCTTCCCAGTAGGCATGCAAGGCTGGGCATGGGGTCTTCAAAATATTTCTGTGCCTTTTCCATTCTAGCCTGATAAAGAAATTATAAGGTAAGTTCCCAAATACTGAGTTATTTTAGAAGAGCTTTTTGCACAGGCTTTTGCAAAAAAAAGGTTACTGTATAAGTGTACACCTTTCAAAGACCTCACAATAATAAATACAACAGCTAACATTTATATCAAGTACTTACTACTTGCCAAGACTGTGCTGCGCCCTTTATTTAATGCAATTCTAACAAGAAACAAAGAAATCTCATAATATTCATTTCACAAGTGAGGAAACTCTGAAGCTTAGAAAGATTAAGTAACTTGTGCTTGAAAGTAGAACGTGCCAGGGCCAAGGTTTGAATTCATGTCCAAGGGACTCTAGAGCCTTGTTCCTAACCATGACTTTGTAATGCTTCCTTATGGATACATAAGAGCACATCTACCATTTCACTGAGACTGCACTACTTCAAAATATTCTGTTCTCTTGACCCTCTACATACTATATTCATTGCACCACCAGTCCCAATTGTTTGGCTTAGAAAATATGGCCACCACATTTAATATGTGCTACATATAACATGCAGAGATCATAAAAAACCATTCAAAGTTAAACCTTATGCACACAAGAAAGCAACAGAATTACATTATGCTTAACTGACACTGAAAATCAGGATTAGACCACAAGCATTTTTTTTTCTTTTAAGAGTTTCCTTTTGGTGATTAGTAGTGCAGAATTAGGTGGGTTTGTAAAATCTGGACTGGGAGAAAGGAAAATAAGTCACATATATTAAGGTCTTTCTATGACCAAGTTTTATAATGGTTAACTCTCAAATGACCTCATGAGACATTTTACATATAAAGGAACTTAAACTCAGAGACCTTGCTCAAGGTTACCCTGATTTGCCTGAAACCCAAGTTCTTGTTCTCATTATACAACCCTGCATTCCTATGAGTTCTGGGACTTTCCAAGGACTATCTCACAGAGCACAATGACCTTTAGGCCACAGGAAAGTTATACATCTTATTAGCCTCCCTGACAATAACATTTTAATTAAGTTTCAGTTACTTT